ATTTTTTTTTTAATTTTTTTTTTTTGGGGGGTGTGGCAAGTGTTTTACAGTCCTCGCAACTGCAAAAGATTATATGAGCCCGCGCGACACATTAAACATTTTCAGTTGGTAGGAAATTTTTTATCTTGCCCGTATGGCGGCCGAAGCCTACTTTTATCGATTTTAGACCACCAAGGCATCTTTAACGTGTGCAGCTTGCACACGGGACGTACTCTGTCTATGATGTAGCGCTTAGGTGCTGACATAATATTACAATTATTATTATAGGGCAGAATAACCCGACTTCTTGATCACCGAAATTGCCTCAAGATGTTCAAAGCGTATGAGTCTGAGATTTTTGTGCATTTTCAATGCTTTGATTTCATTATAATATAGATTGTAAAGCACATTGAGCTTGTTATAGAGCTTGATAGTGGTTGGCGGGTGCTCTGGTGTGGTTTGCTTTTTCTTTCCTATCAAACATCTATCGTCCTTATCTCCCGTTCTTCTTTTTTATGTTTGTTACTCTCTTGTAACACCTCTAATCTTCTTGCGCTCATATGACCTTATGCAGTTGCGAGCGCCGTAAAACCTCTACTAAAACTGAACGAAGAGCGGGCTACATGCAATACAGTTATCTAGTATTATACATCATAATTAATATAATTAATAATCAACGTTTACTTAAAATCAAAATCAATTGTTCCTCAGTTGAAGAAGGTGCTGCTCCAGAAGTGTGCATAACTAAGGAATGTGTTACTGCAGGTATGAGTACTTTGGTGATATTGGAGAGAAATATCTGGCTTACTCCTCCTGCTCCTCTTCCTCCTCCTCCTTCTTTTCCCGCAAATCCTCCTCCTCCTCCAAATCCTCCTCTAAATCTCCTCCACCTTTTCCAAATCCTCCTCCTCCAAATCTCCTCCTCCTTCTCCAAATTCTCCTCTTCCTCCTCCACCAAATCCTTCCCCTCCTCCAAATCTTCCTACTCCAAACCCCCCTCCTCTAAATCCTCCTCCTCCTTCTCTAAATCTTCTTCCTACTACAAATCTTTCTGCTCCTTTTCCTCCTCCTCTTCCCGTTCCTCCTTCTTCCCCTCTCCTTTGTCTTCCTCCTCTTTCTCCTCTCTCTTAGTATATTATCATCAACATCATTATCATCGTCAGTATTATCATCATTGTTTAAAATTACGAAACATAATATGGAGCCTCAGGTGTTTTGAGTGACAGTAATTTCTGAAAATGGTTCAACTTTCTCGGCATCTAGGGTTTAATCATCATCATCATCATCATCATCATCATCATCATCATCATCATCATCATCAT